TTACTCAGAAGGTTGTGTTCTTGTCAGAGAGTACATTAGGCTGCAAGAGTTAATAAATTCTAGAGACTGATTCATCCCAGCCAGATATCTAAAGCTGAATGGCTTATTTAAGAAGAAAAAAAATCCCAGCTCCCTTCCTCTGTGGGTGGTAGCCTTGAAATCTGAGTGGTATCAGATTGTACTGCTCATGTTTACCTTGTCCACGTGGCCAGCTTGGTTAAAATTTAGTTTGGAAGATCAATTTCCCCCCCTTTACATCAGAGGGGAAGAGAGAAAGAGAAACACTAGAACATTATGTGTATAGTTTGTGCGTGTGTGTGTGCCTGTGCTAATTAAAGTGGGTTCTGCCAGATGCTAGTAATGCTAGGTTTGGAAAGCAGACAGCTGGAAAGGGAATCACAGAACAAAGAAGGAATGAAAACAACTAGAAAAATCTTGGATGTGCTGAGACTTTATCCTCCTATATACTGGGAAATCTGCATGGACAAATGGGAATAATCAATAAATGCCTTCTCAAGGTTGCTTAATGAAGAACAATAATCTTGTAGTGTGGTGTAATGTGCACCAGCCATATATCTAGTCCATGAGGGATTTTTGTCTTATCTTAAGGAGCGCTGGGCTGGAATTTCAAGGGTTACTGAGTGAGATTGGTCTTGAGCCGAAACTTTGTCTTTGTGGCTAATGGGGGTTTCCAAATTCTGTGTTTCCCACCAGCACAGGAAAAACAATGGTTTTGGGCATTTGTATATAGTTTCAGGGGGAAACGGTTACAGAAAGGGGGGAGGTGGATAATCCTTTCCCCACACACTGCTTTGCTTCTATAATGCCTCTTCCTCCTGACAACTTCCCCCCCACTAAATTGCCAAAGACTTCTAGGAACCTTGAATAGAGGAAAAGCCTCCAGAGGGGATGGATTGAAGAGGAAAGGGTATATCCCTACGATTTTGTGTATGGGTGGCAAACACAAGGTTGGGGATATTGTCTTCACTGACAGGCAAAGTCTGCATTGAGACATCACTTGACACTGATATCAATTAGACCTATGCACATACCTAGCTCATGGCTATGTGTTGCTCTTGCTCCTCCTTCTGTAGAGAATCCTGGTCAGAACTGAACTGCAGCTTCAAAACACCCCCCTCCCCCCATCTCTTTAGAATCCTAATTTGTATTGGGTGGGGGTACTGACTCCAGTTAATCCAGATGCCTCTGTTTGTATATTACTGGTACCTGGAGTTAGTTTCTAAATGGGATACTCCAAGGAAGAAAGTGGAGGGGATAAAGATAAAGTTTTATTTATGGCCGAAGCCAGCAGTGGAGGGGGAAATGAAGGCATGTACAAGCATGGCAAACAGCCAACAGCTTCACAGAAAATGGATGGTATGAGATGGTGTTTGGAAGGAGAGGTGGCACCCACTGGTGTTCGGGGGGGGGGAGTTCCAGGCATAAGGATGGGAAAGGTGGTGTTAAGATGAGCTTTGGACAGCTGAGATTGCCAGATTTTGTGCTGAATACAGTAGGATAATTTCTTGCATGGTTTGATCAGTGAGTGAAGGGGTCCAGCAGTCATACATGTCAAGTCAAGTCAGCCTTTATTGGCATATATCAGTAGAACTGAGGAGGAAGGACATGATCCTCCAGGTGTGTGGAGCCCTTCTTTTTGAAATAAATTAAAAGGGGGAAAAGCAGAGGTCATTTCGGGGGGGTCGTGGGGGATCGCAGTTCCCCCGGGTGAGGTACGGGGGGCGGGGCACATGACGAAGCCCCGCCCCCTGCTTCCGGCCGCCCTGCTTCAGGCCCTCATTCAGCCAGGAGGAGGCAGGAGAAGAGGGAGGGTAAGTTGCTTCCTCCCTGCCTCTCCCCACCCTTGCCTGCCTGGGGCCAGGGAGGGCCTTCGCGGGGCTTCCTTGCACTCCCGCCAGCCTTGCAGGTCCACCGCCGGGCCCCTCATGGGGCTCGGCAGTGGAGCTGCAAGGCCGGCGGCAGCGGCCGGTATCGTTGGGGGTGGGGTGTGTGGCCTTATGACACACTGCCGGTGATGTCAGGGGGTGTGGCCTTATGACACACTTCCGATGATGTCAGGGGGGTGGCATATGCTAATGAGTTATGCTAATGAGTCCCCCTAGCTCTTTTTCTACGAAACGACCCCTGGGCAAAAGTATGTGGAGCCCTTACCCCATGGCTGTGATTTTTGTTATGGTGGTAGTAACCATGCGTAGAATGTCTTAATTGGGCCAATGAGTACATTTTGGGGGGCTGTATCATCCTGCCACTTGTTGTGAAGATTGCCCTCTTCCATAAGTTTGCTCTGGACCTGGGTTGCTTGAGGATCACAACGTCAGAGATCTCAGACAACCAGACTGGATTTTTAAAAAGAAATGAAAAACAGAGGAGGCCTTGTTTTGGTGGAAAAGCTTGGAAAGGAACCAGAGTTCAGGTCTCAAGGATACTTGTCATTTTCACTTCCCTGCCAGCTGGAACCCAGCCTGTGAAGGGAAGGCAAGATCCTCTGTGTTTGTGTGGATGTGTCAGTGACCTTAAGCGTCCTTCCAGGAAGACCAATTTGATGATTACTTGGAAGTCTTTTCCCACCCACACTGTGCATAGCCAGGGAACAGCTTGTGCCAGAAGGGATCTTTAAGAAGACATGAGGCCTTTTCTCCCCAGGACCTGAAGATTATTTGTTCAATTTAATGTTCTTTAGGAAGCTCATGTTGGCTTACCTATGGGACTTCCAGTAGTCTCTTGCCCAACCCATGATCATATATGGAAGGCAGATGGTAGAGTTTTAGGCTGTGCACAGGAGCCAGGGGAGGTTTGTCTGCTGCAGGGTGAGCTCTGCTTAACGCTCCTTCACCTCCTCAAGGTAAACTCCACCGCTGTTGCTGAGGCTTCAAAGGGAGGAAGCTCTTACCCAGCAACAGCCAAAAGAGTCGACTGAGGACAGGAGTGATCATCACCACCTTTCCTGTGAATATGTCTATATGTCAATTTCTCTGTTAATTCTAAGGTTATTTTTCCCCTCTTCCCTTCTGTTTGGTGGATGTTTCTGTGTTTGCACTGAAGCTTTTATAAAATGAAAGCAAGAATTTAACCTTTGCATATGGACAAACACGTATCTGTTTTTGGCCAGACATAAGCTTTGTGTATGTGCACCAGGTGCCGAAAATGCTATAATGCAAAGATTTTTCAAAATTCATTGTAGTCCACCCAGCAGAACAGTTGGACGGCAGGAGTTCTGTGGTCACGTTATTTCCCTCTTCAAAAAAGTGATGTAATGACTTGCTCAAGATTGGTGTCCAGTACCACTTTATTTCCAAATTGAGTCTCCTTTGACAATCATGTCTTCAGTTCTGTACCCTTTCTGTCCCAGACTTGGAATTAGCTTGTTCTTGTTTCATTGTGAAGCGAAGCCATGTTTCTTCTTTTGTAAAAGGCATTTCAGTCTCAGGCTTTTCATGTCACATACAAAGGCTGTCAATATGAAAGAGAATTCTGAAGAGAAATGGAATATACGTCGCAGTTAATGGGTTTGTGTTTTGCATTAAGAACTTGTATAAAACAAGGCTTTTTGTGTCCTGTGTGCTGTGCTGACTTCTGGATTGGGGTTGGGGGAGCAGGCCACAGATCTTCAGTGAGTTCCCTCAGCCAACAAGAGGCAGAGGGGGATTATAAACACAGCACGTACCAGAGTCCTCTGACTAGATGGCTCATGCAAGCAAGTCAAGCCATACACTGAACTCTCTTTTTAAAAATACACAGAACTTCACTTTCCAAGTTTCCATGGAATAGTGACAAGCAAAACTATGTTGTCCACTTTTCCCCTTGCAAAATAGCATCAGGACAGTAATTTGTGGGTGGGAGAAGAGATGAGCACTTACTGCTCCCCCTGCAGATTGCCCTGGGTCCTGGCACTTCTTCTCAAGTGGTGTCAGATCCAGCCTAAATGATGGCTTCATTACTCTTTGTACTGGACTCTCTCACTCCCATCCCAGTTGCCCAGTCTTTTAGGCTACCTACACAGGATCTTGCTTCTAAGCTCTGCTTTATTCTAATGGCATGCTGGGTATGCCTAGTTAAGACGTAAGAGGAAAGCAAAGATTCTGGTCTGATCCTTGCTGAGGTAATTAACCTGCCGTTTCAGTTTGCAGGAGTCCTCCGTGCTCCTCCTCCAAAAGAGTCCTTGCACCTAGCAAACCAGTGCATCAAGAAGGAAACTTCTAACCTAGCTGTCTTTCTGGTGCGCTACTTTTTCTGAGTGCAGGAGTGTTTGTGGTATCGTGAGCCCTTCCCTTCAGCCTAAAGTGCTACATCCTGAACAATTCGATGATTTCATTACTTAAATCTGTGCAGTGTTTTTCTTTAAAGATTTCATCCAGCTTCCTCCAGCCTTCGCAGTGAGTCCTCTTACTCCAGGGCCCTGGCATCTTTTATGTATTTATTTATTGAGGTGTTTTTACCTTTTTCTCCACAGCAGAACACCAAAGGGACTTACAAATATGCACTTTAAATAAGCAAGAGTGCACAAGTTCCGTCCTGGGTTGGTCCTGGGTCCACTGGGCTGGCTCACTCAAGGATGCAATCTGTGAGAGACAGGCTGATGGCCAAGGGTGACAATCCCTTTGGTTCTTGCCTATCAGTTTGCACCTCTGGCCATGCCTAGGCTTTAGTACCTGCAACAGGAAGGGAAACAGGAGTTCAGCCCAGATGTAGTTCAGGAAACCGATATGTTCCTAAAAATTGCCCTCCCTTACTTTTCCTCTGGAGCTGCTAATATGTGAAAATACTTGGGGGTTTGCTACAGAGAAGAGGTTTTGGGCTTAAACTCAGATTAGGATCGACTATCTTGTGGTTTTATACCTGAGCAGAGATTTATATCCAGGTCCCCAACTCAAACTTGTCTTTAGTGGCTATTACTTTCTCTCTTTAAATAAAGGCTTTGACATCAGTAATTTTGATGTCTGGCTAACCACTAGTTGTCTTTCTTTCTCTTTCTCTTACAGATGATGAAGTTTGCTTGGGATAACTACAAACAATATGCCATGGGGAAAAATGAACTGCGGCCCCTCACTAAGAATGGACACATTGGTAACATGTTTGGTGAGCTGAGTTTCAATTTGCCTTCCATTTATTTTTAAAAGAGTGCAAGAGGCAAAGTCTTTTGACCAGAGAAGCTAGGACAGATTCTCTCCTTCCTAAAGTTAAGGGGGAAAAATGTCCATAGGATGTCAGGGTTTTGTTTTTTCAAATTTTGCAAGAGTTAGAGATATAGAACCCACTGAAGAAGAAAAAACCTCTCTGAATTTCAACATGAACTGTCTAGCCTCCTTTGCAGATATTAATCTAGAATACCTCCTTTGATAGATGTAACCTAAAATAGGGCCAATTAATTGTCATTCTTATGTGGTGAAATATGGCTTATGCCAGGGGTGGCCAAACTTTCGTAACATAAGAGCCACATAAAATAAAACCAGATGTTCAAGAGCCACAGGATATGAACAAATATTACACACGTTTTAATTGAAAGATATTAAAATTTGCTTTTTATTAACATTAAATGAGACTGCCAAAATAAAAACAAAAGAGGTAAAAACAGATATTGATATTTATTTGTCCAGTGATATGTATTTGTTTGCTAATTATATTTTTGTCAAAGAGAGAGAGAAAGAGAGAGAAAGGTGGAAAGAAAGAATGAAAGAGGTGGAGAGAGAGAGAGAGAAACAAAACAAATAGATGGGGGAGGGAAAGGGGAAAGGGAGAGAGAGAGGAAGGAAGGAAGAGAAAAAGAGAAAGAAAGGTGGAAAGAAAGCAAAGGGAGGAAGGGGGAGGGAGGAAGGGGGAGGGAGAGAGAAACAAAGAAAGCAAATAGATCGGGGAGGGGGAGGGAGGAAGGGAGAGTGGAAGAAAGAGAGAGAGAGAAAGAAACAAAGCAAATAGAGGGGGGAGGGGAAAAGAGAAAGGTAGAAAGAATGAGAGAGGTGGAAAGACAGAAGGAGAGAGAGAGAGAGAGAAACAAAGAAAGCAAATAGATGGGGGGACGAGGGAGAGAGGGAAGAAGGAAGGCAGAGAGAGAGAGAGAGAAAGGTGAAAAGAAAGAAGGAAAGTGGAAAGGAAGCAAAAAGATGTGGGGGAGGGAAGAGAGGTGGAAAGAAAGCAACTTTAACTTTAAATGCATCCTCCAAGCCCCCCCCCCCCCAATGCCAGCTGCTTGGATTGGAGAAGGGCTTTAAAGAGACACATGCCTTCTCCAAGCTGGGTGGTGGTGGTGGGACTTTGAGAACGCATTTAAAGTTGGTTTCTTTCTCTGCTCCCCCCCACACACATGAAGCCTACCCAAGGAAGGGAACACTAGCTGGGAAAGGAAAGACTGATCGGGGATGTATGCCTCCCCTTGGCTTCACCAGCCGCCCTGCTGGGAGCTGCACAATATGTGTGAAAGAGCTGCATGTGGCTCCCGAGCCACAGTTTGGCCACCTCTGGCTTATGCAATGCACAGTGACTGTGAAGTAGTTGTTTGACTGGCTTAGCAGGGATTTGGCTGTGCCATGAAACCATCAGCTGGATGACTCCTTTGCTACCTTTCAACAGTTGTAGCACAGAAGCTGAACACTACTTTGGACTTTGTTCTGAGGTCAAGCAGGGTGTGTGGGAGAAATGTGGGTATGAAACGGACACTGGTTTTAGTTGTATATTTTTTAATTTTTTATCTAGTATTTATTAATTTGATTTTTACCCCACCCTCCCCGCTGAGGTAGGCTCAGGGCGGCTTACATAAGAAACAATAGATAAGATAACAATATAAATATCTATATAAAATACACAAAAGTTATTAAAACCATCAACATAACGATGGCGGTATAGCTGTGGTAAAGTGCATTCAGCGGTATATCAAGTCAAGTCAAGTTTGACTATCAATTCAGCGGTATATCCACTATCGGCGGGCTCAGGCTGGAAATAGAATTGGCATGGGGCATAGATGATAACACAGCTCCTTACCTAAGTACCTGACGAAAAAGCTGTTTTCGCAGCCCTACGGAACTATGAAAGGTCCCACAGGGCGCTGATCTCGTCCGGAAGCTCATTCCAGTAAGTTGGAGCTGCCACAGAAAAGGCCCTGGTCCTGGTTGATACCAGCCTGGCAACCTTAGGACCGGGGGGGGTTTTTTTGCGGGCAGACAGTATTGCAACCCTGACCGTAGGGCTCTATGGGGAACATGTGGGGAAGGGTGGTCCCTCAAGTAGGTAGGTCCCTGACTATAAAGGGCTTTAAAGGTCAAAACCAGCACCTTGAAGCGAATCCAGTATGCTATTGGCAGTCAGTGCAATGCCTTCAGCGCAGGATGGATGTGCTCTCGCATAGGGAGACCTATCAACAGCCTGGCTGCCACATTTTGCACCAGCTGCAGCTTCCGGAGTTGCGCCAAGAGCAGCCTCATGTAGAGAGCATTGCAGTAGTCCAACCTCAAGGTGACCATTGCATGGATCACTGTTGCCAGATCATTGTTTTCAAGGAAGGGAACCAACTGCCTAATCAGCCGGAATTGGTAGAAGGCTGCCTTGGCAGTGGCTGCTACCTGGGCCTCCATTGTTAAGGCTGCATCCAGGAGCACTCCCAAACTCCTGACCCTCGGCGTTGGCACCAACGGCGCCCCATCGAAAGCTGGTAGTGGGATTCCTACCCCCGATCCACTCTGACTCAGGCACAGGACCTCCGTCTTCATCAGATTCAATTTTGATCGGCTCAGCCAGTCATCCAGCCATGTCCTGTAACATCCGGTCCAGGTCTTCCAGGGTAGAGTCAGACTGACTGCCCAACTACAGATATAGCTGAGTGTCATTTTATGTCGTTTACATTTATATTCTGCCTATCTATCCATTCAGTGCCTTCGAGGCAGCTGACAAAACAAGCGCAGTAAAATTACATCATGAAATCAATTAAAAACCAGAGTTAAAAATACATATATAGAACACAAGACAGAGAATATCAGGCAGGAAAGAGGGATTGTTGCGGAAATGCCTTTGCTTGGTGGTGGAAGGACCATATTTATTTATCAAGTTTATATCCTGCTCCCTCTCCCCAGGAATCGAGGAGCTAACAACATATAAGATGCAACAGATAAAACGGTATAAAATATGCAATAAATAAATTTTTTAAATATAAAGCCATTAAAAATATATCATGGTTGAAATCTACCAACCATCAAGCCGGGCAGGATTCATGGATGGTGAAGCCACAGCTGAAGCATAATTTACCAGCTATTTGATGAATTGCAGTCACCAAAAGGCTGCCTGGGGGGGAAAAAGCAGCTTTGCATGCCCGGTGGAGCCTAGAAATATCCTGCAAGACACACTCCTCTTTAGGCAACTGGTTCCACAGGACAAGGACCACTAATAGAAGGTGATAAACATATCCTTGGGGAAGGGCGTTCCATACTTTTGGCACCATGAGGAGGAATGGGCTTCTGATGTAGCTACATATGAAGGCCTCTGAAGGGCAGAGGGATTCTACAGGTTCCCACAGGGCTCCCCTGCCTTGTTGAACATATGGGAACTTTTGACATTTTGATAACAGGTAGTGGACACAATCACAAGCAGGAATTAAGATTGCTGGGGAAAAGATCAACAACCTCAGATATGCAGACGATACCACTCTAATGGCAGAAAGTGAAGAAGACCTCAAGAGCCTCTTGCTCAGGGTAAAAGAGGAGAGCGCAAAAGTGGGCTTGAAGCTCAACATAAAAAAAACTAAGATCATGGCATCCGGCCCCATCACTCCTTGGCAAATAGAAGGGGAAGTCGTGGAAGTAGTGACAGACTTCACGTTCCTGGGATCCCAGATCACCACAGACTGTGACAGCAGCCATGAAATTAAAAGACGCCTGCTCCTTGGGAGGAAAGCGATGGCAAACCTAAACAGCATGATAAAAAGTAGAGACATCACCCTGCCAACAAAAGTCCACATGGTCAAAGCAATGGTATTCCCAGTAGTCATGTATGGCTGCGAGAGTTGGACTATAAGGAAGGCCGAGCGCCGAAGAATAGATTCTTTTGAACTATGGTGCTGGAGAAGACTCTTGAGAGTCCCTTAGACTGCAAGAAGATCAAATCAGTCCATCCTAAAAGAAATCAACCCTGACTGTTCCCTGGAAGGCCAGCTAATGAAACTGAAGCTCAAATACTTTGGCCACCCAATGAGAAGGGAGCACTCACTGGAGAAGACCCTGATGCTGGGAAAGATTGAAGGTCAAAGAAGACGGGGACGGCAAAGGATGAGATGGTTAGACAGTGTCATAGATGCAACGAACATGAAATTGAGCCAACTTCAGAGGACGGCGGAAGACCGGAAGGCCTGGCGTGAACTGGTCCATGGGGTCGCGAAGAGTCGGACTCGACTGTGCGACTGAACAACAACAAAAGTGGGCACAACAACA